TTTGATCAAATCCATGCCCACTCCCTCCCCTCCAACATTACCCCCTCTGAAGAGGTAACCCTAAAATCTTTTAAGGATTAGATGCAAGCTCCCAAATACTTTGGACAATTTTTGGCCTTTGGAACAGAGTATGTTGCTAATAGGCCCAAGGACATTTTGACTTTAGCCAAGAAACTGGCTACTTTTCTTTGGAGTCATTTAACCTTAACTGTATAACCAATTCCTACAGATAGAACATGTAATTATTTTACTAAGTAAAAATGAATTATGTGGTAAACCATGCGGAGTTTTTATGGAAGTGTTGTGTGTAGAAACTGAAGAATTGTGTGTTCACTTAAACTTGTCAGTTTTTCAAGGAGGTGAAAACCTTGACTTAGACTAAATGTCGTTAGAAACTAGAGTCATTTTGCTAAGTTACTCACATTAGAACTCTTTAAATGGCTCACTAAAATACCTGGAGCTCAGATATTTTACTCTGAAGTATTTGAAACATGATTTGAGAATTTAGGAAAAGCAGGAAGCAGGAATATCTTTGGTATCTTGGGGAAAGTCAAGGGTGTCTATTTTAAAGCAGGATGCAAGCATAGGGGTGTTGCTTGGGACACTTCCTGTGCTGAAAGCTAACTACTCTTGTTCTAGGGAATTTGGTCTGAAGACTCACATTCTAAAGGTAATTTCCAGACAAGTTGAAGAAACCAAATAATAGGTTTCAGCCAGTACCGGTACGCTTAAGGTGCCTTAATTTGAACAAAATCGTGATTTTGTGTTCTCGTAAAGCAAAATTTCTTACTGTAGGACAGGAAGGCAATGGCTAATGCTCTGCATCAAGAAGGAAAAGCATGTCCTCAGAGAAGGTGGAGGGAGGGAAGCAGTTGCTGGGTTCCTCTCATCTATCTGCGTTCCTCCATCTACAGGTGAATTTCAAATTTGCTGGTACAGATCCTGGACAGAATTATGTTGATTTCTCTCCTCCGCCCCCTCCGCCCCGCCCCATGTAGTTGACTCTGGTGCAAACCAGGGAATAAGAGTCACTGAGGAGAGGGACCAAGTAAGATAGGGTAACTGATCCATTGCTGAATTAAATTTTTCTTTCAACTTATAAGCCATATTGGTTACCATGTTACTAAGGAGTGCATCTACTTGTCAGGGGATGTAGTATAGTTTCAGAAACAATTTGGGGAATCACTGAAAGCCTTTGACGCCACCATCTAATTGTCATGAATGGGGAACTACTGTTTAATCCACTGAGAGCCATCTCTGGTCCTGTGCTTTGCTCTCTCATAACTAGTGCTGCTGAGAAAAGTACACTGTGAGTTTAAAAACGAAGATATAGTAAATAAAAGAGGCATCAAAGCAGCCAACACTACTGAAGATGTGAAAACGGCCACCTGAAATAAAGGAATATTAGCAGGTAGCTCTTTCCCGGGTGAATATGAGTACCTTTCCCTAGTGGAAAAGGAAGCTTCCTGAGCATTTTCAGGTAGACAATGTACTGAGTAATGGGGAAGAGAATACAGGCAACGCGTGCAGTAGTTATGACAGCAGAAATATAAACAAAGATGAGTCAAGGATACCCTTTAGGAATTTGACCTAGATTTTTCTCCTTGATTTTTTTTAACATTTTTATTGAATTTTTGCAATTTTCATACAATATAATTTGATGGTATTTAGATCTCACCTATCCACAACTCCATTTACTGGAGTCTAATTTGTGTCCCCAAATGTCCTCCACGTGGGTCTACCTACTGGAGCCTGGTTAACCTAAAAGTCTCATCTTGAAAGAGACTAACTCTTTCTTTGAGCTGTTCAAACTACCATGCCCATTCTAGATACTGGAACTGCTTATTATAAATCTTATCTCTTTTTCCACACCTCCATATACTCAATATTAAATATTTTTAGTATTTATATACATAAAATATTCAAAACTATTATGGAAATATTTCAGAGTTATGAGGACTGTGGGGACTAATAGTCGTGACTTGGTGTTTCTGCTCTTTCCATTTATTAGCAGTTAGCCTCAGATTCCAATTCAGTAAATGATGGTACTAATAGCTCTTTCCCTGAAGGCTTTCCTGAGTATTAGATACTGTAATATATCTAAAGCACCAGCACTCACAGCAAGCATCCTGAATGTTCATTATTGTAATTAGTTAGTAATGAGAGAAGAAGGTTTTAACTTTAGCCAACTGAATATTTTGAGAAAGACCAGAGATTTATTAGGATTGACCTGAATCCTTAGTATAAATCGAAGCACAGACAATTGCATTTTTCCCATCATTGTATGAATTTTAGAATAATAAAAGTTGATTTGTCTTATGTAGTATGATCAAAGCACAAAAATACATACTAACACACAGCTGACAAATAACAGAACTATTTAAGACAGTGCCTCATGTTATTTCCTTATATGACTCCTGTGATTGACGAAAACACTTGTCCTTTACAGTTAGGGTGACAATAGAGCAAAGAAATTGTCACTTTTTATTATTCATTATGGAAATTAGGATAATTTATTCTTTTAAACAAAGTATTCAGCATTGGTTTTCATTTAAAAGCAAAACAAAGAAATGGAAATAGTGAGATACAAACAGTGCTACAACTTAGAGTTCTGCTAGTATCTTAATCCATGTAGTTTGGGGCCATCTCTTAAAACTGAAGGAAAGAAAAGTTCTGAAAAATATGTTCTGTTAACTCATGGAGAAACACTTGAAAATAACAATGATTATTACATCTTTCTTATTTCTGTATTGTTTTAAATTTCGTTTACATTTTTTGTCTTTGAATTTTATTTTCCCTTTCTTCACTTACACAAAATATCTTCAGTTCTATTGATATATTTCTTCTTTTCCAAGATTCATATTTAATATAAAATTTCAAATGCAAAGAGCATTTTAGAATAAAATAACCATTATTTTTTTCATGATCAAAGTATTTTTGTTTAAAATGGATAAGTAATTTAATGAAATGTGTTTTGGTTTTTATTCAAATGTGTTGAAGAAAGTAAAATCTTCTTGCACCAAAATTCACACATACACACACACACGCACACACACACACACACACACACACACACCCCACACTAATTTGGTGAGGATAATAGAAGAGTAAAACAAGCAAATACAATTAAATCTATTTTTACTATCTTAAGATATTAAAATATTTATCTCCTCCCAAGAACTATACAACCCTGCTATTTTCCCAGAATAACTCTGGTATGTTTATAAACAGTATATTTTTACCTCTTAGGGTTAATTACCTCTATAAAGTCAGATAAAGCATCTATCTTGCTAGCTGTTATGTCTGGCTCTGAGAGGTACACAATGATCCGGTTCTGATTGAAGGAATGAATCAAAGAACAGATACATGCATTTTTTTCTATTCCATCCCTATTTTTGGTTGAGTAAAATGTCTTCAGCCTAAAGAACACATATTTAATCAATACCCATGAGATTTCATCTAGAACTCAGTGGGATTAAATTGGATTACATCTATAAGATTAGATGAGTGAACAGTAAAAGCTGTGAAGGGGACTGGGACATTCCACCAGTCAGCATCTGGGTGGGTGGCATCCAGCCAGAGGGCAGCAGGGATTGCGAGCCATTGTGGTGGAGTGGAGAATGGCAAGAGCGTGACAGTGGAGGCCAAGCAGCCCAGGGTCAGGAGGAGTCATGTAGAAGCCAGGTATGGCACAGGAACAAGGTCATTTGGAAGAGTTGCAAAGGAATCTTGGAAGTCAGTTGTGCTGATGGCTTGTCCAGAGGTGAAAGACCTTTTAAGGAGATCCTGGTAAAGGGTGTTCCACCTAACTCACCTGATCTTAAAAGGGCCCTGCCCCAATATGATCAGGGAGTTATACTGGTCCTGATATATATAAAAGAGGAAATTATGAATTATTTTGTTATATTTAAATCATGCTGGAAATACAAAAATGCACATTAAGTTAATTCAATATGATTTTTAAATATCATAATTAAAACTGTAGGGAATTGGACATTTTCATGCAGAGTACATTGGTGCAACCTTTTGGTAGGCATTTTCAAGACTTCATCAAATTATATAATTCATTTAACATTTGAACCATTGATTCTCTTTCTAGTAAATCCTCTATTAAGAAGGATTCTTATGAAATGGTGTATAAAATTTTGAGTGTAGTATTGCATATTAAAGCCAAACCAAGGAAGCAAAAATCATTAAGCATTCCAGACCGGGGAAGTGAAGAGCTACCGTGTGGTTATTGCATCGCTGTATGTATACTCACTGAGAGGAAAGAGGTTGAACCTTATGTAGTGATAAGTGTCTGTCATATTAAACACAGCAAGTGCAGGGCCCATTTTGTCAGGTGTGCACACATATGATTTTTATACTCTCCGTCCGTGGGGAAATAAGAAGAACCCAGAGGCTACATACACTCATAAACACAAATAGCTCTTGTTTTTTTTTTTTTACAAAAAAAAGTTAAAATAGCCATGAAAATCTGTAATGGCCATTTCTAAACACGGCTGAAAAAGTGTTATGAGAGTCTGATAACCTTTGTAAAGAAGACAGTGTGGCTTTCTAATTTATAAAGTAAAAAAATTAAGTTCCTTATTTGCCAAACTCAATTGTAGTCAATGCTTAGCAGCTCAGAGAAAGCCTCAGGAAAAGGATATAAGATAAAGATATTTATATGGAAGTACAAAAAAATAAAGACAAAGATAAAGAGACAAAATTAAGGAATAAGGACTCATAAGCGTAAACAGAAATGAAATCAAATGAAAGAGAATGGAGATTAAGGGCAGTTAAAATATACAGCAGAGAAGTGGCCACTTAAAAGAGGATATGGGGGCTGGAGAGTTGGTTCAGCAGTTAAGAGCACCGACTGCTCAGTTCCCAGCACCCACATGGCTGCTACCAACTGTCCATAACTCCAGTTCCAGGGGAATCCTTTGCCCTCTTCTGATCTCTGTAGGCATTCCATGACATGACTGTCCTTTCATATATGCAGGCAGTATACTCATACAGTACATAAAAATATAAATAATTGATAAAGCTTTAAAAAAGAAGACATGGGCCAGGAATATGTTTGTGTCACCTTAATATGGCAAGAATACTGGTGAAAACCCCTACCGTGCTCTGAGAAGATGGACACTCCTCTGATTGTTCAGATTTAAAAGCCTTGTGGTTACACCCTAATCCAGTGGTTCTCATGATGATAACCCTAAGCAGTCTAAATGTGTCATTCATACATGTGATTAGTTTAAAACATTTGTCTCCTGAAAGCAAAGAAATGCTGGTACTATATTTGAGATTACAGCTAAAAGCTGGGAAGTTTTGCTCTTCACAGAATTTTCCACACTCTGTCTTAAACAGATTTCTGATTTAAGAGACTTTGACTCTTGCTCGTATCAGCCATACCCAGAGTCACATGAATTTCACATGGACACTCAACTGGGAAGACAGGGGAGGTGCTCTTTGATGCTAAGAACACAGGTGGGATTGCTTATTCCTCTTCATAATTCTTAGATTAATGAAGATTTACCCTGGACACATAGCAAATTACATATAATAAGCTGATTCCATCTCAGTTAAATTTAATATTTAAGATCTAATATATAGATCTCTGTGTTTCAGCATGAGGTCTGTTTTCTATTAACAAAGCTCCCTGTTGGGAAATCTACTCTGTTGAAGAAAGGAAAGTCTAGGATATGGAAGACAACATTTTCAAGGTTTTACTGAAACAAAAGCAAACAAAACAAAACCCCTAGCTGCTGAAGAATTACTCTGTCAAAGTCCTTGGTTTGGCCAAATTTCTATATATAAGCTTTTGATAAAACTTACATACTTAGTATGTAAGGAGGCTCTAATTATTTCTATTCATAAGCTTGATTTTCTTTCACTGGGTAGAAATTGACTTGAAAATTGAACAATTTTCTGTGTAGTATCTTTTAGAAAATAGTATTCATCACATAAACAGAATACAAATGGGTACTGAGTTTGAAAGTGTTGTGTAGTCTAATCTCTGTTACTCCAACTAGCATTTTTTATTTGGAGAAAACTGTGGCGGACTTCCACAAGATCTCTACAGATTAATGCTAAATTTCTCAAGACTGGTCTCAAGCCCAGATCACTAACATGACAAACATGGACACAGGGAACAAGAAATTATAAACTTACTTGACATGCCTCCACTCCCCTTTTCTCCCTTTTGGCCTTTAGGTCCAGGAAATCCTTGAAAAACAGCAAAAGGAAAAAAATTAAATCAAGTTAATTGAAAATACTCTTCTCTTTCTCCCTCCCTCCCTCCCCTCTCTCTCTCTCCCCCCCCCCCCCCCCCCCTCGTGTGTGTGTGTGTGTGTGTGTGTGTGTGTGTGTGTGTGTCTGTGTCTGTGTGTCCTGTTACATTTTTAGGAACTGGAGATTTTACCCAGGGCCTTATGTGTGTTATGAACACGCTATACCACTGACCTATGCCCTCAACTCACACAAAGTTTGCTTTAAAGGATATAAGACACTATAAATATAAGACATTAATTGGTAGCAACCTACAGTTACTGAAATGTACTAATCATACCCATGCTAATAATAATAGTGATTGCTTTTGAAATCAAGCTATAAGTTTGGAATTTATACCATCTCAAGTTATTTGCAAGGGTGTGGAATGTTCCCTTTTTAGGAAACAAGCAAAGCTGACATGTAGTTTGAGATTTATATACCCATTCTCACTTTCTTCTCTTCTTCTAACTCTGCTTTTCCCCTACCTCCAAGGAGCCCGACATCTTCAGATACATCCTGATTCTTGTGTTTTTGTTCCCATCATAATTTTTTTCTGTTTCGTCCATTCATTTGATTCATGGCATCCTTTAGACTGGATCATACAAGTTTTGTGGTGTGTTGGAAATGTGATGAACCCATTCCTAAATGTTCAATGGGCACTTGACTGTCTAGACACTTTGGGTGTGAGAACCCCTGGCCGTTTACACAGGGGTATAGTGGAAGTGTTGCTAATGGTTTGTTGCTTCGTCCAAAGCTTTACTTACAAAGGGGCAGCCAGGGGATAATTATGTGGTCCAAACAAGAGATTTTAATGATGACAATTTCATCTTATGAGAGTTGTTCTGTTTAAATTATGAACTATGAATTCTTCCAATAGATTTCAAATAACTATATTGCAAGATATCGCCTTCTTAGCATCAGTGCAATAATGACTCCAGTGTTGTCTGTTTTGAAATCAAAATTGCAGCTAATGCTTTTGATTTCTCTACAAAATCAAAGGATGTAGTTTTAAAAATCACAGAATTCAGAAAGGTACAAATTATTTAAAAACCTTTTTCTTAAATTATCCTCCTGTGCCAATGCTGTATATGTGGAGGAGTATGGACTTTAAAACTTTTTGAGTTGAAGTTTATTCTTCTATACAATGAAAATAGTACTGTTCATTGCAGAATTGCTTTACAAATTAACAGTATCCACAGAGCATTGTTTCTTAAAAGCTGGCTTCATTTGTTCATTTCTCACACCTTCGCTGGACTCTTCTGTCTATGATTTTACACTCAGTTAATGACAAAAAAGAATTTTCAACTCTATTCACTTTAATGGCACAATTATTTTAAATTTAATTGTAAAGTTTGAACATTAATTACTTTATTTGTTATGAGCTTTTTATATTTTGTCTTCATCTCTGTTTGGAATAATTGTTCTTATAGATCTCTTAGAGCAGATTATTTTGGCCCCTAATTTACTAAATTAAAAATATGTGATACAATCTATAATGAGTATGTTGAGACTTGAAGCAATTAAAAGGTGCAAATTACCCCAAATGAGATTTTCCTTCAGAGTTTAATGAAGTTTTAAACATTCCTTATCATATTCTTATAAAAAGAACTGCCAATTCTCTAATTGCTATTCATAATATGATTATATTTTATATCATTACATGGGTTTCTTAGTTCTGAGTGTGTTATTTCAGGCATTATTAAAATTTTAAAATAAGTACCACAAAATTCTCAGAACTTTACATTTTAGCAGTATCCTTTTTAAAAAATATTTTATTATTTTTTAATTTTATGTGTATGAATGTATTGCCTGCATATGTGTAAGTGCACCCATGCCATGCAATGCTTGCAGAGGACAGAAGAAGGTGTCATCCCCTGGAACTGGAGTTATGGATAGTTCGTAGCTGCCATGTGGGTACTTGGATTTGAACCAGGGTTTTTTGCAAGAACAGCCAGTGTTCTGAACTGCTGAGCCATCTCTTCAGCCCCAGCAGTATCATTTTATAAAGTATAGCACCAAAAATTCAGATTGTTCAAAGGAAATATTTAATAAGTTACAAAATAAAGTGGGATGGATGAGATAAAATCACATGTAGTTTATCAGTTTTAATTCTTCTATAAAGTATTTATAAAGAAGATAATATACAACTTAATTTCATAATTTCAACCTTATTTTCAAAATTAGGAAAGAAAAGGGGACTGTGTGATTGTCTTTTTACACAGTATTGTTGCCAATAGTGTTACAGAGAATAGTTTAACAGTTCCAGTGCCCTGTAATTTGCATAATCATCATGACCTGTCCATCAGACCTCTGACAACCATGAATATTTATCCTTTCTTCATAGCTTTACCCTCCACAGTTGAAATCCTGTAGTGTGCAGTTTTATTTATTTA